AGCATGTAAAAATATAATATAAGCTCTGGCGGACTTGGTTCTATGGTAGGTCTTAAAGGGTTAAAAATATACACTCTGTATTGCGTCATATAGAGCCAAGAAAAAACAGCCTGAAGCCTGAGCTTCTGGCTCACAGCGATTACTTTCGTATGAATGTTTGTGGATAGAAAGTGAAACATTTTGAAACATTTGTAAAGGTTTCAGAAAACTTTCAAACTTTTTGCTCCTAAAAAATGTATTTGCTTCTTGCAGGCGAGCCTTGGCCATGGATGGTACGTGTACAGGGGAGCATGGAGTGGGTTTAGGAAAAAGGGCGCTGCTGTGCGAGGAGATGGGGCCTGTGGGCATCCAGGTCATGCAGAGTCTCAAGGACGCCCTCGACCCAAACAACCTGATGAATCCTGGGAAAATCCTGCAGCGAGAAGAGCCATGAGCAGCGTGTCCATCTGAGTGATTACATCATCAGAGTGAAGTTTGTGGACGCACTTCTGTTAAAGGAGCACAAGTGGTTTAGAGTGAGCAAACATATGAAATCATTGAAGCAGTGATTTACAAATTCAGCGAAATCAAGAAAGCTACACGTGTTTTTTTTTTTTATGAGATTTCTCACGAATGTTCCTACATGCACCAGAAAACCTGACTCTTAGAAAATGATGAGTGTTAATAAAATCCTTTTTGCTAACTCCAAATCTGAGTTTTTAAGGAAGACCTGGTTTGTTGTTGCAGATTAGCATGCATTATGTAAAGATTATCTTCCACAGATCCTTTCTTTTTGTGTCATTAAAATTAATGTCTAACATGTGGAATCACTCCAAGTGCTGTTGAACCTGTTTATTGTCTGCTGAATACATTTCATTGAAACTAGACACTACAGTTTATTATGCTTTTGCTTTTGTAAACACTTTACCTAACTGCAGATGAGCATTTTGACACGGGACTCCATTATTCTGATTTGCATTGCTGTTTAAAGAGTATCTAGAGTTCAGCGACTATATGTTGTATACTTTAAATAAATCACAGTATGCAATGGTTTCAGTGAAATCCTTGACCATGATGACCTACATAAAGAAAAGCTGCTAGTAAATGAAAGAGATCTGTCAG